ATAAAAATTAAGAATATGTCAAAATGACATTGACATTCTTAACCGGAAGTTGACCATAACTTCATTAATATTGAAGATAAATATGTCGTGTTTGTACTCATTTTAAAGGATTTTTAATGAGGATTACAAATATGTTAAAATTGAGGTTGACACTTAAACCTGAAGTTAGTTATCACATAATAGACAAATGGACAACTATATAGTGTTCTTTCATGATGTATTCTTTATTAAAAAAACCTTGAAAATGAGTCCAAACAAGACGTATTTATCTCAAAAAACAAAAAAGTTAGAATAAAAGACACTAACCCGAACTTAGCAACAATGAAGATAGCAATTTAATTTTTAAATATTAATACCAACCTTAATTTTTGTTTTTTTTTTATTATATTTTTGTTTTGGTGATAAATATTAGTCCAAACAGGACGCACTTATCTCAAAAAACATTAAACCCGAAGTTAGCAACAATGAAGATAGCAATTTAATTTTTAAATATTAATACCAACCTTAATTTTTGATTTTTTTAATTATATTTTTGTTTTTGTCACAAATTTTAAGACATTTTATAAAAATGAAGAATATATCAAAATGACATTGACATTTCAAACCGGAAGTGGCTTATATCTCGAGTAATATTGGAATTAAACGTATCATGTTTGGACTCATTTTAAAGGATTTTTCACAACGATTACAAATATGTCAAAATTGAGGTTGACACTTTAAAGCTGAAGTTAGTTATCATATAATAGAAGTTTTATAACTGAAGTTAATCTAGTGTTAGTCACTTTTCAGCACTTTCTTTTTATTTTTAACGTGTTTTTGGGGTAATTTCACATTAATTTAAAAAAAAATCGTCGATTTTTAAGCCACATGATGATTCTTGAATTTTTCCCAAGTTTCTTAATATTTCTTTTGTTAAAAAAAAGCGTTCTTAAATTTTAACCTGTAAACTTGTAACACTTCGTCTTTTGTAACACTTTTTAAACTTTAATTTTGTAAATTAGTAACTAATAATCTGATTTCGACTTTGATATGTGAACAAAAGAAAAAGAAATATTAAGAAACTTGTTTGTGAAATGGATAGGATGAGGGACGTTAATCTATTTGTAGAGGGTCTGAAGATGGCCAAGGGCCGAAACTAGTTAGACTTAAATTCTATATATGTAGAATAGAAACCAGTCGAAAAGTACAAAATCAAACTCTAGATAATTTTCTTCAAAAACTTTTACACGAAACATCATTTTGACTCTAGTATTTGTGATTAATCTTACAGAAACAGCCTGTATAATCGTAAAACGACTGACCAAGCGGATTTTGTGCTTGTGATGGCTGAATAGTTTGAGCCTGTCTATTGTGAGAAGTCATATTTTTAGAGAGATGAAAACGAAAATCCCGTTTTTCTCAACATCGTTCATTTGTCGCTTAGTCAAGTGATGCATAACGCGGTCCAAATTAATAAAATAATATTAATCAAAATCACATTTGAGGTTAGTTTGAAATATCACGTGAAATGTCATCGCGAATCGGTGACATCTATTATTCAAAAGCGGAACTATTTATAACATTTACCTCTTTCCATAGCAATACGTCTTTCTTCAGCCATTCTTTGTAATAACGGTTTAACCCTAGGTTCCTTGGGATATTCTAAGGGACGCATTAAAGCGCCAAATATGGCACAATTTAGAATAATCCCAGCAAGGATTAAATTAGCTCCTTTCCAATCGTAAACTTGAAGTAAAGCGGTCGCGAGTGGTGCAAAAGCAAACGTTCCGACCCCAGATCCACAGACGGCGATTCCGGTTGCGAGAGATCGTTTCGTTTCAAAATAATATCCGACGCAAACCACCGCCGGAAGATAAATCAAACCGAATCCTAATCCGCCCATAAAACCATAAGTTAACATTAAAACGTTAACCGTCGGACTGAAAATGGAAAGGACGAATGCGGATGTTGAAATCAAACTTCCGGCGATGCAAACAGCTCGACAGCCGTACTTGTTGGTGAGGGCGCTAACAACGGGTCCAGCGCTAAGATACATTCCTGATAGTAAAGATCCAACCCAAGCGGTTTTTCCTGCGGGTTCGCCATAATAATTGATGAATTCATTGATGAAAACGCCGAACGTGTATGCGATCCCATCAACTATCATGTTGCACATAAAAGAAGCGGCGACGATAACCCACCCGTAGCCACCATCCGGTGGCGGTGGAAGATCGTGATAATCGCAATACTCTTCATCTTCCTCTTGTTCTTGTTCGGCCGTTAAACGAGCCGCTTCTTCGCATGCTATTTCACTTTCAGTCTAAAACAAAAAGAAACGTTAAGATTAAAAAAAAATAAAAATAACTAAACATGTGGATTAAATTGTATTAGATAATTAAATGAAATATTGCACTTATAAGTGGTTATTGTTCATTTTTTCTAAACTATAGATTGACACACTTAATCGTTGTTTACCATCGTTGAGTTGATATCGAACAAAGGATATAATAGCGATTCATAGTTGTGAAGTAATTCCACTCAACCCAAATTATTAATTTAATTTATAATAGGAATTATGTAATCTAATTATAATAATAATTTAAAACCTCAAAAGAATTAAAATCAATAAAAAACGTTTGTGGTAACAAGAAATTAACTTGATAAAGATTAAATTTGTTATTTATAAACCAAAAAGCGTGGATTAAATTTGCATTAATTTTAATTAATAATAATAATAAGGCGAGTTAAATCATAATAAAAAATGCGCTGAGTTAGGTTGGGATAGTTTTACTTACGGTTTTTTTCTCAGTCATTATTTTCACAAAAATCTATACTAAAATAAAAAAACAAGATGTTCGATTCTCTAACTAATCTACAAAATGCTTCGACAATTACGCGTGCGACGATTTTATAGTACACAATTTATCTATCACTTGTAATCTTTTTAAGCATACAAAAGCCACTTCTCGAGTCTATTTCTTATTTGAACAAAACTTTTCTTTAAGAGAGAGTAATAAGAACAACTACTACTTGGAAATTATGTATGGAACTGTGTTTTTTCGTTATTGTTACACTAATATTTTTCTTTGATTGGGAACGATTAGCACGAGTATGAATGTTTCTCGAGGCAATTAAATAACTGTTTAAACCCTGTTAAAACTGTTAGAGACTGATTATTTTGTTTGGTTAAGTTACAACCAAGTTTTGTTACTTTTGTTATTGCTTATGTGTTATGTACAATGGACTTAAGTTATTTTAATACAATATAAAGGAAAATTTATTTAACTTAACAACAGATTATATTTAATTTCAAACATTTTAAACTTATTTCAAGAAAATTTTATAAATAATTTTTACCGATATAAATCAACTTTAAATTGACGTTTTAAGAAAGTTAGGTTATATTTTCGATATGTCACTAATTAATTTATGGGGAATACTTAGGGATCACTTTAAAGAAATAACTTGGAGTTCCAACACTGCATTTTAATGGTCTTTCGGTTAATTTAGCTTTGCATTTGTAATATTTAATAATTTTAAATGTTTGAAAAATGTATTAAATTTTAACGCTAGATGGGGTGAGTTTGTCACAAAAAAAAGTTGGGTTATTACATTCTCCGTCGCCGAGTTAATCTAATTACAATTTCTAGTAAGATTCATGGATTTAGAAACGCATGACGTAGTGAGAACTTTTCAACAAAAAAACATATAATTCAATAATTAATTCTTACCGATATAAATTGACGTTTTACAAAAGTTAGGTTATGTTTTCGATTAATTTATGGGGAACACTTCCTAAAACTTAGAGGTACTTTCAAGAAACAGCTTGTGGTTTCAAAACCATATTTTAATGGATGTTTCGGTTAATTTAACTTTTCTTTTCGTAAAATTTAATAAATTTAGGAAGAAATGTTATCACAGGTTTTAAGTGTCAAAAATACTAAGATTAATATGGGTGGTTAACGCTAGATGGGGTGACTGTCACAAAAAAAAGTTAGGTTACGTTTTCGATTAAAACATTACGTTCACCGTCGCGGAGTTAATTTGATTACAATTTCTAGTAAGATTTGTACATTTTTATACCTTTATTTCTTATTGTAGTGTACGAAATACATAATTTAGTGAAAGATTTTTGACAATTCGAAGTTAAATGACATCTTTGTAATCTTACCATGTCAAAAGAAAAGTGATTAAAATGGTTGCTATGGTAACCGCGACGTAAATTTGTTGTAAAAACGAAAATAATTAAAAATATTACTTATTTTTACGTCTTCCTTCATCATCAATATTATATAAACACAAAACTCCTTAATAACCATCGTTTCATTACCTTTTCAAAATAGAATCATTTCATTTTATTTTTTTTTTAACTATTTTTTATTTAAATTCACAAATTACATTGTAATTTATAGCCCGCGTCTTTACATATTCGCATTATGAGTAAAAAGTAAAAACCAAACAGTTTCATTTAATTTTTTGGGGTTACAAAGTTAACAAGAATCGTTGCTATGGTGATGAAGTCGTCTTGAATCTCAAAATGTCATTAAAAATGTCAATTAAATGTCAAATCAAGAATTAAATTTTTTTAAATTTTGTTAAATTTTTTCATTTTAGCCGATATCAAATAATTTTTTACTTACAGATGATTTTGTTTCCATTAATCGAAACTATTTAACATAAAAAAAGATCTAGATGAATAAGATTCGAGGAACGCCAACAATCTAAACGAAATTTACAGATTTTTTCTCTTTATCTTTACGATTGATATCAAAAATTGTCTAAAACATGAATTATAGGTGTAGGTATTTAGAGAGATTAAAGCTTTTTCGATCAGATTGATATTAAGTGTTGTAATAAAAATTTTAAGTTAAAAAAATCGCCATTATTTATGTACTTTAACGTTACAGATGTGAGGAATCGGCTTCCTTATTTCCTATGGAATTCGATTGAGGAATCAACGATCAATGTTTAAAGGTTAAATATTTCAACACAACACGAACAATTGTTAATATGCTGAGTGTTATGATTAAGAATGAATAAACACAAAAATTTTAAGATAAGTATCATTGAAAAAATTAAATAATAAATACTTCATACGTGTTAAAAATTATTGGATTTAACACGTTTCATAAAAATTAACACTTACTCCCGTTTACAAAAACAATTCGTCTTTTCCGTTTAATTGTTCCTTTTGCGTAAATGGCAAATAAACGTAATAGAATCTTTCTAATTCGAATGACAAATTAAATTAACGAAGAGAAGTTATTTTTAAACGCGTGTATTGAAAGTGTCGCAAAGTTTTTATTATTATTTTAGCAAATCGTTTTTATTATCACATAGTTATCGGTTATTATTATGGGAGTAACTTTTTCTGGTTTTTAGTTACTTGATTTTAACAAAATCATTTTTTCCATTTTATTTAATCGATGCTTAATGCGTCTTCCTCGATTATGTTGTCTCTCTTTTTCCATTTCCTATTTGGATCATTGCCAAGTATACAAAGGTAGTTCAATGTCAATGCTTAAGTTCATATTTTATTTTTGAAAATTACTCGTACTATTAAATGTAATAAATAACGTTAATCTTAACATACAATTGACCTTTTGATCGCTTTTTCGATATATGAAAGGAATAAACAACATAATAATACATTACGAAGGATTAAAACTTAAAAACTAAGCTTAAAGATTTAATTCTTTGGAGAGAGCAATCGAATTCATCAATCATAATTGTTATAAAGCATTAAAAAAACATTTTTTAAATATCTAAAACCTTGAAATTAATTTTGAAACGAGAATTTTCGAATGCGTTTTAATGTTCTTAATGTACTGAAAGAGAAGATTCGCTCACTCGTTCAAAATTATCATGTATCGTTGGGTTTTGTACGCGATGAATTGTTGCAACCTCATTTACAAGAAACACTTAAAAGACTTCCATCAAACAAGAAAATTTGTAAAAATAAATTCGCAACAAAAAACGCGTTTTAGTTCTAAAAATAATCACACTTGAACGGTTTCCAACGATTTTATTTTGCAACAAATGCAAAAATGCAAGCGAGTTTTTTCCGAAAAAAAAAAAATTATGAAAATAGATGTAGATGAATATGCTCAGGATGTTTTTATCCACTTAAAAGTTAGCGTCCAACAAATTGATCACTTAACCAGTCCAGTTTGTTTCAGTTTGAACTTATTCCGGCCAAATAAGAGTTTTTTTATCACAAGAAAATGAGATGTTTTAAAAGAATTATAATATAAATGGAATTTGATAAGAATTTTAAAAAAATGTTATCACAAAGATTATTCATATCTAAACTATGAGTTTTAAAACATTTTTACTACATTCAAGTTAAATCGAAATTAATTAATATGCAATAAAAATAATAATGCACAAAAAAAATTCGCTACTAAACACTAGATGGCGTTTAACCATAAAAATAATTTACTCATATGTCAAAAAACGAAACGTCAATTTGACAGTTATAAAAATTTAAACTGCTTGAATTAATGATTTAAGCTGAAAGAAAACTTTGTTGAGTGATTTAAATGATTTAAGAAATGAAAAGGAAAACGTTATGTGTAATCTTAAAACAGTTTAAAAGAAAGGCAAAAATGAGCTAGCTATAAAATAGCTACAATGTTTGATTTACAATAATTTTATACTCTCTTTAACAGGTACTCGTAGAAAAAGTTGTTGAAAGGGCATTTTTTCTATTAATAATCACATAAAGAGCAAATTAATCATTTGGAAAATAAGAATGGAGGCTATAAGAAGATATTTTGTTTCAATTCAATACTTGAAGAACGCTATACTGGCTATTTATATCCTTTATTGTTCTACGGATCAAAACCTACAGCACGAAAAATATCCTGACTCATGGTGGGTATGAGTCCATTATCAAGTGATGTTCAATCAGCGTATGACAAACTTAGCAAGGATGTACTCTAGGACGATGTTTGGTGGCTTTCATTATAATAATGAGAAGTTACAGGAGAAGAGTATGAAACAGGGGGACAGCCTGAGAGAGTAAAACAAGAACAAGACCTTCCACAATATGTTATTACAAATTAACACCAATGAAGACCTTTGACATGGTGTAGCCAGACGATATAATGCTGATATCTACATTTGTCCAACTAAAAAACCTGTTTGGAAAAAAGGGAAATACAAATAACTATAGGGAAAACCAAGATTATGCATATAACTAAAGGGGAAAAGAATAAAAACATAAATGAAAAGATAAGTGGGGAGAGATTGGAAATTGTGGATAAATTTGAATACTTGGGCACCATTATTACTGAGAATGGAACAAATAGACAAAGAAATACAAAATAGAATACAAAAAGCAAAAAGTAATGTGTACTTGTAATAGAACAAATACAAAATTAAGAATTTATGAAACTGTATGGCCGATAAGAGATAAACACAAATCAAAAATAACAGCAGCTGAAATGAAATTTTTAGGAAAGATTGTGGGGAAAACAGGAATGAACCGAATTACAAACAAAATTATAAGAGGCGATTAGAAAACAAACAGCTGAGCTGGTATGGACTCCTAGTCAGAATGCCAGAAGAGAGAATCCCACAAGAGTAATGGAAATGAGAATAGTTTGAAAACAAAGGAAAGGCATAGGATAAAATGGGAGGATGGAATGGAGGAGATAGTCCGCAAGAGAGGAGGAAGTGTGCAGGAAGTGAAGAATATGGTAAGGAACAGACGTAGTTTTAGAAGATGGATAGAGGATCGTAATAACACCCCAACGCTGTGATGGCATCTGGGGGAAATGATAAAAAGGATGAGTTTACACCTATTAAATTGTTAAAATACTCTAAAAATATTTCCTGTTAGTTCAAAAGCTCCGAAAAATGCGAAGATTGGGACTCAAGAAGAACTCATTTTACATTAAACTTCATCTCTCAGAATTCCTTTTATACACAATGAAATTGAAATCGAACCGATTAAATCGTTCAAACGAGGATGAAAAGTAAGAATTGACAATGACAGACCAACATTTTCTTTTTGACATTTCAAAAGAATTTAGCGCGTTGTCATGGTTACCATATTTTTTGATTTGTAATGATTGTAATGAATTAAAACAATTTTTTTAGTTTTTCATAAAATTTTGCTTAAGTTTTCATAAAAAAAACACTTAAATAATTACAGACAACTAGGAAAATACCACTTAAAACATATTTATTTCATAAAAATGAGATTTAAATAAATTTTTTGACATTTTATTTGACAGTTAATATGTCAAAAAGTTGTTGTTCAAAGGGAACAAAGGGAACCAAAAACGAATCTCTTTATTGGTCTTTTATAAATAATACGTCTATTTATATTCGTATAACGAGCACATTAACATTGAATCCCAACAAAGAATGTGAAAAATTACTTTTTAAGAAGATTTGAGGTGATTCGAAAAATTTTAATTAATCAATTCTTTGAAATAACGATAATATTTTTATGTGTTGTTACTAATTAATACAGTTGGTGTTGTTGTTTGCGAATTTATTCGAATTTACTGAGTTAGTCACACATACGCATGCATTTCCTATTCGATTAGATTTCTCCTTCAACAATAACATTTTTTCTCCTTCCCGTCTCACTCTATCTTTTAAAGAACTGCATTTTTTTAAAATTTTTTAATTCAACTTTTCAATACGTATTTTGGCTCATTTTTTGGCTTTGGTTGTGGGTGCAGTTACAAACTCGACCGACCCAAAACGAACAATAAAAAAAGATTCGTTGGAACGTGCGCTAGTTTTTGGCACGTTGAGCCAAAATACATATACACCGACACTTTATTTTTAGAAAAAATCGCATTTCTCCTTGTTATCTAAATCTAATGATTAATCAAAAATCATTTTTGTTATAGAACGTACCCTATTAATCCGATTTCGTTGTCTAGAAGCCCTTGACATAGTACATAAACTCGTACTGATTTTAAATTTACCGCCTTGGAAACAAAAAAAAACGATCAACAAAGTAGGCACGTGTTTTTTAGTTTGTTTTTGTATTAGTACACTATTTAGAGTCTAAAACACTTTTTTTTGTATGTAAAAAAGAATGAACGTCGTCGTTATGGAAACACACGGCTAACTCGATGCTGTGCGCGTAAAAAACGTTCACTCAACCGCGACTACCAACTTCAGATCAACGCGAGAAACACTTCGTTCGGAATATAAACGTTTAGCGATGACGTCATCACAACTTCAATCGTCACTAAATAATAATAAAACGATCTAATGAAAAACGTGCCGTTAATTTAATTAAACTTCTAAAATAAATAGAAAATAATAAATTAACAAAAAAAAAATAAATCGTTTAAACGAAATTATTAAGCGATCAGCTGATTGTAAACACAAATGTTTTTCTTTACATCCATAGATTTGTTAATATATATTAACAAATAAATGAATTAACAAAGTTAAATATCCCCAAAAAAATCACTAAATTAACTAAATTAATACTTAAACAATCCCCACTTAAATTAATTTAATAAGATTTATCAAAAATTAAAATTTTTAATTAATTAATAAATTTAATTAAATTAAATAAATCACTAAGATGAAACTCTCTTACACCATCTTAAATTAACAAATAAAACTCTTTTCTCACCAAATTCTGTGAGGTTCTTCTTGATAGATCCTCATCGGTATCCTCGTCGTTATCGTCTCTGCTGGTTCCGGCCCCCATTACCCCAAAGGGGGCTCATCTACCGCCGGAAAACCGCGCGAAAAACCGACGACCGGCTTCCGCACCAAGCAACACCCGTCCACCAAACAACCCGCAGTTGCGTTACTGTTTAGTGACTTTTATTTTTTTTAAGTTTATCGTTAATTTCTAAATATTTAAACGAAAGGTTATTTTTAAATTATAAATTAATCAATTTTTTTTGAACATTAACAATCAAATTAATCAAAAAATAATATGTTCTAAATAAATTTACATTTTAATCGGCTAATACTAAATTAAATCAATAAAAGATTATTACCAACCGTTATCTCGCGATAACACAAAGTAACTAATTTATTGTCTGTTTTAGGCAGTTTAATCCGAATATCAGATTTTTATCAAAGCATTTTAGGTAAAAATGGGTTCGCAAATACCTAAAGCAACTTTACTTCGCTTCCCAACAATATTTGGGGGAATGCTTGTCTTAGCAGGAGTTGGATTGATTTACCGGTAATTTAAGGTTATGTATCAACTTAAGATTTATTAAGGTCATTGTTATAATTAGAGAGAAATTTTTGGGGAATATCGAAGAACAACGGTTACAATTGTATAAGGAATGCCCTGAAAGCCGAGAAGCGTACGAAAAATATAGAAGAGAACATGGAAGATGATACCTAAGTTATTGTACTTGTTTTTTTCAGTAAATAAGTGTATAGATTTGTTATATATTAAAAATATACTCTTTAATGTAACCTTAATTACGTTTAATCGTTTTATTTAGACCTTATTTTAATAATTAATTAAAATTTTGAAGCGCCATCTATAATCATATATAAATAACATTTAAAAAAACATAACCTTACTTTTTAAGTAACAAAATGTCCGATGGTAAATAAACATAAATTAATTAATTATTTAATTTAAACAATTTTGTTTATAGAGGAAGTTATTCGAAGACGTTTACTAATCGACGGAGATGGAACTGGCGATGATAGGCGGTTAAACGCACTTTTAAAGGCAGTTATAAAGTTTGCAAATTCATCGGATGACTCGGAAACTGAAAATCAAATTATTTTTGATAGGATGCTATCCCAAATAGCACAGTGCGAATTTGCTATGAGACGATCGCTTCTACTACAAAAAACGAATCAAAGAGAATTGGAAAATTACAAGATAATTCAAAGTGTTTTGGAGGAGAAAATATTGAAGGTGAAGAAAGCAATTGAAGAGATTAAAATTGAATTAGAGCAAGCGAAAATTTTAAAACAAAATATGATGATGTACGATTTATTGGCTCAAAGTATTCAGGAACAACCTGCTAGAAAAGATACGGATAAACGATTGATGGAGCTTAAAGCGGAACTGGGCGAATTGAGGGAAGAAAAACGATTGTTGGAGCAGAAATTGGATATGAGAAGGAAACAATTTCATGTTCTCATTTCAAGTTGTAATCAATTGCAGAGTATGTCCGAGGATAAAAGCGATGATGATCATATGAATACTTCTTTGGATGATATCACTAATAGTCCTGGTCCGGAAGTTATGTCTGAATAAATTTAATAAATACACATTTTTATATTAATGAAGCGTTTTTATTTATATTTTTATACAATTAAAATAAGAATAGATTTATTTAAAGTTCCCACCATAATCAGTCATACCAACTTTTATTTTATTTAATGTAAAACCCTTGTTTATTATAGATATATTATATATATATTAAATTTGTATGCTTATTTAATTACAATACACTTAATTTCTTATTTTAAATAATTTAAATTATGTTGTAAGAAATAAAATTCAATTAAATCAGTAAACTGAAGTTAGCTGCTTCAAGTGACATTTACGTCCTGTGACAGGTTAGAAATTTCCGCTTCCTTTTCGTTGACGCCGCAGCCATGAAAGCCAAAGGAGAGGTTTGTTTTCATTATTTCTTAACTAATTATCACCTAAATGTACAAATTAATTACTTAAAATGATGTGTATTCTCCCATTTCTAAAATAATCAATTAAATTGTCCCAATTTATTCCCCAAAATCCGCAAATCATCAATGTTTACGTATTTGAGGTTATGTCCACGTGTTTTCTTTGCTATATTTTAATCAATTTTTTTTAATTTTTTAGTTGAAAGAGTTCGAAGTAATCGGGCGTAAACTGCCCACCGAAAAAGAAAAGGAAACCCCATTGTACAAAATGAGGATTTTCGCCCCTGATCCAATTGTTGCCAAATCTCGCTTTTGGTACTTCTTAAGACAGCTTAAAAAGTTTAAGAAATCAACAGGGGAGATTGTTTCAGTACGTCCTATTCCTGAGAAGACCCCAATTAAGATTAAGAACTTTGGTATTTGGTTGAGGTATGATTCTAGGTCGGGTACTCACAACATGTACCGTGAATATCGTGACTTAAGCGTTTCGGCCGCTGTTACACAGTGTTACCGCGATATGGGGGCTCGTCATCGTGCTCGTGCCCATTCTATTCAAGTAAGTTAATTAAAATAAAGTCATTTTATAAAATAAAATCATTTTTTTTTATTAGGTTATTAAAGTTGAGGAAGTTAAGGCTTCAGCTTGCAGAAGACCACAAGTGAAGCAATTCCATGATTCTAAGATTAGGTTCCCATTACCTAAACGTATACAACAAAGGAAGACGATGAATCGTTTCTCAGTTCGTAGACCAAGGACTTATTTCCTTTAATGTGTTAATTATAGGAATTTGATGAATAAAAAGTTAATTTAAAAAAGGTCAAAGTGTTTTATTTTTTAAGTTGAATATAAAAATAAATTACTTAGTTTTATTCATAATAATATTCATTAAATCTAATTTAGCAACTTTAGGAACATTACGAATAGTCAAAGAAACTCTAGTTTCGCGTTTTAATTTTTGTCCGACACTAAAAATCTCGCCACATTTTTTTAAATTCACAACTTCCTCGGTAATAACATCCTCTTCAACTTCATTGATACAATGTAAATATTTCCCGTACATTTCACCTTGTAATATCACCAAACTGTAACGTTCTAACAATAACGAACAAATTGGAATTCTTGAGCCATAATAATCATCTAAAAACTCCAAAATACCATGGGATCCACAAGTTATCGTAGTTATCGTTGGGTAAAAAAGAGATCCATCTAAATGGGGCATAATCCCCTGACCAGGTAAGTATTCGTTGATAAGTACATGATTAGCTCGTTGCCCATTAAAAACGTTTAACTTTGAGACTCGATCTAAATATACATCTAACCAGGATGGAATTTTATCCACTATCATACCATTTCGGTGAGGAATTCCACCGTAATCTTGTAACCGGCGATTTTTTAAATACGTCCATTTCGGTTTTGGTACTTCGTATACTTTTTTAAGGATTTCTTGCTCTTCATCGTGAGTTATAAAATTAGGAATGTAATACGTAGTTGTTGGTGATAATTCCACTTTATATTGGTTTAAAGATTGCATTTCGTTTTTATTGAAATTGCAATGACGACGTTATTCATGTTGACGTTTGAGTAGGTGTTAAATTGGTTGCATAAGTTAATCACAAAAAAAATGTTTTAAAAAATAATATTTGGATTTAGATTGAAATTTGATCAATGAATATATATATGGTTTCAATAAATAAAACTAAATTAATTAGAAACACATCTTTTTATTTGTATACATTATTATACAACTAGAAACTTAAGTGGATTTAGAATTAGGTCCTTTACGGCGTCCAAAAGCAGTTACAACATTAACGAATCTCCTGTTGTATTGAATACGTCTTTTAGCACGTCCTGTCTTCTTCTTTTTCTTTTCTTGCTTTTCTACTTTAGGAGTTTGACCTTTTACTTTACCTAAAATATTAAAAAATAGTATTATACGATAATTAATCAATTAAGAAGTACTCTGTCAAGAATTTTTATCATGTGCATTCATAAAAATGATAATGAACATGTCAAACAATTCCAATTTATTCTTTAGCAAGCTTTCGGAAGGTTATCAATCAATTATAACATAAAGATACCTGCTGACGCTTGCAATTTAACTTTAAATAATAAAAATTAACAAAAAATAAATACAAACCAGCACGGGCAAGGGATCCATGAACTTTACCACCTTGTAACCCACAATCCAACTCAATATCAATATTTTCAAAAGCCGAGATGACCGTATCATCAGAAATTGGACGCCCGGAAGCGTATAAACTCACATCAAGCGATGTAAGATTTTCTAACGCGGCGATTTTACTCTAAAAAACATGATTTTATCATCAAAATTAATCATAACCTCACTTTTTTTAATATAATTTGTTACCTTTAATTCTGCAACAGTTTCGGTGCCTTGGCACTCCAAAACGTTGGTGGATAAACCTCGAACGATCAATTGCATTTTAAAAGTTGCTATCTAAAAAAGAAATTAAAACGAAAACTTGAACAAACACGTTGTCAATGATTGACGGTTAATTCCATGAGGGGATAAAATGAGATGTTTTTCTTTAAGATTTAGGGTATAAAATTGTTCTTAGTTATGATAATGAGTGTTTCGATTGATTTTAATAGAAATATTAAGGCGATTTTGGTAAAAATTTTGATAAAAAGCATTGACAAGTACCTGACAGCGTTGTAGACAACAACGAAGAGAATGAAGTTAGCCACCGGATACGGAAACTTAAAAGAAGCGACATCTTTATTGATTATTAACTTTATTTTAATAAATATATTTAATTTAATTAAATAATATTAAATGCATTAATAATTTATTTATATACATGGGTTTATGGGATAATTTTTACTTTATGAGATTTTTTGTTATAATTTATAATTATTCTCTTAAATCTACGTGAAGTTAGTCTAAGTGAGTGACGTTCAAAACGTCAAATAAATAGTTTAATATTAAATTAATTAAAAGTTTTTAAATAATTTCTCGAAGTAGATTGTTTACGCATTTTTTTAAATTAATGTCAATGAAGATTTAATTGATATTTAAAAAAGATCTCTCTAATTTAGCGTCGCTTTGTTAATGAGTTTTACTTGCGTTCGTGCGGGTGAAATTTAATTATTTTGTGATTCAGGAATTTTAGAAATTCCTAAAAATTTGTTTGCAATGTTGCTCAATAAAATTTTTTCGAAAGAATTAAGTATTAAAGCAAATATTTATCATCCTTGAGGGAACATTTCCTAAAAGATCTATGTATCTAAAATTAGAACAATTACAAACGGTATTTCGTCGTAAATAATGTATTACAATGTATTTCCACGTGTTAGATGCTGAGTAAACGGTTTATATGGCATTTTAACATTAACACTTACACCATAACTCATCTTTAAAGACGTACTGACCATCTCTATCTTTTAGAGTTGTTTATTTTATTGTTTTAAAAATGTCTTTTACAATTCTAAGATTTTCGATAATGTTCTTTCCACCTTGACTCACCACTTAACGAATACTCACCAGGATGTTTGGTATAAATTCGCCCAACCATCTTCGTTATTCTTCAGTTTCAAATTGTTTTTGAGTTAGTTACTTATTGCTTACATAAAAAGTTTTAAAAACACAAAAATGGTAATTGTTAAAGCTGCTGAGTTATAATCATAATTAATTTATATCAATTTTTTTTGTTGTAGATGGTGAAATGTTTTTATATTTGTTTATTAATGGTTATTGTAGCCGTTTGTTTTAATGTTGAACAAATTTCTGGAAGAGCTATCAATGAAGAAAATGACCAAGAAAATCAAAGGGTTTTGGTGAAAAGACAAACTTCAAGACAACGATTCTTTCCATACGGAAATTATAATTTAAACAAAGTGTTTCAAAGCAGAGTTAAAGATATAAGGAAAAAGCATTTGAGGAAGAGACCGAGTTACATAGAAAATTTTGAATTTCCCGCGATTCCTTAAATGATAATTATTTGTTATTTTGTTTCTGTACGTTTTAAAATAAATTTTTATACTTTTTTATTAAATTAAATGAAGTGAACTTCTATAAGTTTTGTCTTTTGTGTATTGCCTGTTTTGTTGGCCTATATTTAATTACTTTTTATTAAAAAAATTAATTAATTTTTGAAATGTCGGCAATAAAGTTCTCTATTTAAATTTAATTAATCAAATATAGTTCATGTAATCGATAATATGTGGCGCTAATTTATTTAAAAAAATAGATTATAATAAAACAAATTTTATTTATATAAATTACAACAATTAATGACAAGTTAAATGTAAAATTGAATTGATTAGTTTTAATTTTTGATAAACAATGAACGACTCGAATCGAGGTAAATTTACTTTTTAATCTGATTCATTAAACCCAAAAACATAACCTTATTTTAGATCATCATTTAAGATTAAAAACCGCAACTATTCACTGCCCGTGGACTTCAAACGCCCCGATTACCGCAACGACGAGTTGCAAAACGGGCGGAAAATGCTCAGAAAACTGTCACGTTCCACCTAAAACCCCCTCGAATTACTCATTAAGAACATCATCTTCGTGGTGTTTAAAAACGAAACCGACCATAACTTATTTTAACAATTTCGTACGTTTGATGCAGCTTTTCCCCGAAATGCACCCGGCGAGTCTTCACACGGCCCTTTCTATGTGTAAAAATGAGTTCGTTTCGAGCGTTGATCGACTCTTGTATGTGAGAAAATACAGAAATGGAAATGTTTGTAATAAACGAGAAGATTCTGGGGTTTTAAACAAAAAAATACAAAGAAAGAATCCTCACTTTTGTTATTACCGAAAATGTGATGAGGAGTTGAACGAGGAAGTCGAGGATGTTTTTGAAAGGGAAGTTGAAATGAAGAGGACTGTGTATAATAATAATAAATCAAAAATTAAATGTAATAAAACCGGTAAGAAGTTAATTTAGGAGATACTCAATAGATGGCGGGGTTTGTTTATAAATTTTAATCAAAATTACATTTTTTGTAAGTTGATACTTGTTTAACTGGTCTCTTTCTCACGAAAATAGGGTGCAAAAACTCGGCTTAGGACTTGTTTATTCATATCGATTTTATTTTATTTTAACATTGAAGCAGAATTAGGTTTAGTCGAATTGAGATAAAACGGATTTTTCCTTTTATTAATATTATTATTATTATTATTATAGTTATAGAAAAAAAAGAATTAACTTTACAAGTGTCGACGTCTGAAGAACAAGAAGACGTCGTTGTTGGTGAGGAAATAGTTCAAGATTTATCACAAACGAAATCGACCCGTTAACAAATAATTTTTTTTGTTAAACTTGTTAAAACTTGTTACGCAATATGGGTAAACAACCGTTATTTACAAACCCAGTAATTCAATCACCTTGGACAAGCTCAGCCCCAAAGACGATTGCTGTTAAAAATAAGGTTAAAATTCAAAAAGATAATGAAGATAACAATATTCATAAATATTTGGATAGATATTCATCGTTGTTTTCGATAAATTTCCCGGTAAGTTTTTAACATTTCTATTTGGCGAGTATTTGCAGCTTTTTTTAAATTTGCCGCTTCTCGCATCTCAATTGCTAGCGGTCCTTTCATTCCATCACCTTCACCTCTACATCTACACATTGATATCCCGGATCCATTTTTTCCTAGGCCTTCTTCTTTCGTTTCTTTTTGTTGGCACCCTTCCAACAAACCTTCCATGTCAGTAGGATTCTCTCTTTACTCATTCGGCAAAGATGTCCATGTCGTAGGCAAAAGCCGTAATTCGTCATTTCACAGAAAACCTAGTCATTATACGTTCAGTTTCAAAAAAACTGCCCCCATCATAGAATTATTGGTGTTGCTGAGTTCAATGACGATATAGCAGAAGAACAAAATGAACAACAACAGGAAATACCACTTAGTGTAATAGAAGTAATCGAAACTACAAACTTTGAAGTAACGCTTTTTTCCGATGTTTCTGTGTTTATAGGATTTATTTTTTCTCGCTTATGTTTTTTCTTGTTTTTAACATTTAAAAATAATAAATTAATAAACTTTTTTGTTGTAGTATCAAAAATTGGGTTTTCAAGCACACAGCGGTTCTTATTACGCTTTTTACAAATTGGCAAAATACGAACTTAAAGAATCATCTGGTAGTTTATTCAAAATTCAATTAATACCAACCGCAATATCATCCCAGGATATTCAACGTCAAATACAACCTAGATTTGAATATAAATTGCAACAAAAATTGCAAGGAAAAATGATTCCCAGTTCAACAAAGGCGCCTTTGTCAATGAATTCGTCGGTTGAAGTGATTGATATAACGGATGATGGGGTTGCCACAAATGTAGGTGAAAATGTAATTAAATATGGGAGGAGTGCTGGAAGAAAACAGAAATCGCCGAAGATGTATGTTAAAATCGCTCCAAAAGCCACAATACTTGCAAAAAGCGAATTAGAAAAATTTATGAAATGAAATGATGGTGTGAAAATGAAAATGGGATGAATTTTACTTTATTCTAGTTATCTATTTTGAGAGTGATAGATTTTGTTATTTTTTTCTTATTATTAACTAACAAAGACCGATTTTTTTTGCCAAGTTGTTATAATAAGAATATTTTTATTTTTTAAGAGTTTATTTATTTTTGGGTTATGTCCCTATTAAGTTTGTTTCAATAAATATTTTCATTTTTCATACGCAATCGCTTTTTTTTCATCAACATTTCAAATAAACTGTCACTTTTGACGTTTAATTGCCAACGTTGAAAATTAATTTACATATTCGTATGTTTGGGTTCATTTTGAAGGATAATATAAAATATAATTCATTAAGCGATCATTTTTGACGTTTTTGAGACAAAATTGAAGCTTTAAAATCAAGATAAAATCACGAACTTCATGTTGAAATTGTCATTTTTGATGTTTAAGTTTCCAGTTTGTGATAAAAATGTAATTTTTGACGTTTAACTATCAAAATTGACGTTTTTTGATTGAATTAAATTTAATACTTTAATATTAGATGCCACTTTTGACGTTTAATTGTCAACGTTGAAGGTTAATTTACATATTTGTGACATTTCAAGCGTAAATTTTAATGTATGGGTTAATTTTGAAGTATAATATGCAATATAATTCATTAAGCGATCATTTTTGACGTTTTTTGAGACAAAATTGAAGCTTTAAAATCAAGATGAAATCACGAACTTCATGTTGAAATTGTAATTTTTGATGTTTAAGTTACCAGTTGGTAATAAAATTTAAAAATGTCATTTTTGACGTTTAATTGTCAAAGTTGACGTTTCTTAATTAAGTAAGGTTTGAATGGATCACTTCATATGGAAAAGGAAAAGATACAATATAACACATAATAATAAAACATATTTGATAATAATATTTTCGTGTTTACATCAACAATTGGTTAACCTCTAATTCTGGGATATTCCAAACAATCTTTTTGAAATCATGATAATCACAACAATAACCATATCCGTTCTTCAAATTTGTTGTATTCCAAGTAACCCAAGCTATTCGATTGGAAACATCCTCACAAATAACATCTTTAGCTAAATCATCTTGCGTTCTATAAGGATTATTTACTCCAACCATAACAACCGCTGATTTATTTAAAGGTTCGTAAACTATTTTCCAAATAATTTGGGGAATTGGAATTCTTTTATCACTCCCCTTCACCGAAAGATACAACTCAACGTCATTCCCCGTCGTTTCGTGTTTTAGAGTTGTTGCACCATAAGTTCCCGTATAGATAACAAAATCCTTTTCTGAATTAGTTGCAAAGTCTCGTACATTCGCTTCCAATCTTCCCCAATTAACCGCGTTAAAAGTTTGCCATTGTGGAACTGCATTTATAAAATAAAAAGTAGCTCTGTGTTGAGATCCAAATAAGAAATCGGTTTTTGCTGCTAAATGACCTCGCGTTAGGTATAAATCACCCGATTCTGCAACGTATTTGTAAGATGACGAAGCTAAACCAAGAAGAGAATTGATAGTTTTTCTTTGTGTTGCTCTTGAGTACAAGGTGTTAACCCCGGTGACGTGATAAAATTTTCCCTGAACCCAACTGGGTCGTGGAAAATTTACTTGAGAACCACTTATAGTTTTCGTTAAATTAAAAGATGTGAATAAAGTGTTATCTTTGTCATCATCAAAACAAACCAAAATTTGTCTTAAGAATTGCTTCGAAAGTGGCAATTCGAACCCAATTTCTATTTCGGTAAAATTATTTAAACAGGTATTGTTTGTGTATCTTGCGGTGTGGACGGGAAGACACGAACATGTAATTGAAGAAAAAAAAATCGATTTTGAATCGATATCAAATTTTCCTTCTTTATTACAAATCGCATAATCTTCGACGTTATTTGTTAATGATCCATTTATGCTTATTTTACCTCCCGGACAGGCGATTTTTATGATCTCTCCGACTTCTAAAGTGATTTGATCTCCGGATGATGGTAAATAAAACGGTTGTTCATTTCCATCATACGTCGATTTTAAAATTAAAGGTTGAGGACTTCCTAAGTCATTGTTAATCGAAATTGAGCAACCTAAAAGATTAATTTTAATACCAATCTAATAAGAAACAAAATAATTCTTATTATACTTACCGATAACTTTTACGGTGATTAAATGTACAAAGAACACAACGAACGTAATTGTTTTAAGCGTCATAACGAGAACCTTAATGTCTTAATAACGATCATTTAGTTGATTTATATAGTGGTTGGGATCGTTTGTAAAAAAATGTTAAAAGGTTTTTGAAAAGTAAAAATGTGAAAAATTTTTAAGTAATTAGTAGTAAAATAAAGGTTGTAACGCGAATAACTGGTTCGCATTATCTTCGTGTACAATATTTATAAAAACGAAATTAAAGTATTAATTTAATTCAATCAAACTAGTCTTGGAAAACTAAGAAACGTCAATTTTGACAATTAAACGTCAAAACTTAAAACTGGAAACTTAAACATCAAAAATGACAATTCCAACATGAAGTTCGTGATTTCATATTGATTTTAAAGCTTCAATTTTATCTCAAAAAACGTCGAAAATGATGAATTATATTTGATATTATCCTTAAAGTTAACGCAAACATTAAAATTTACACTACAAATATTACAAATATGTGAGTTCAACGTTGACAATTAAACGTCAAAAGTGACAGCTAATATTAAAGTAACTTAAGTCCTTTGAACTTATAAGTTATGTTAAAAAAATAAAGTTTGCAAATAATCATGAAATTTCGATTACAAATTTAAAAACTCTCCACAAACATTAAAATAAATTAATTTTATTAATTATTTTTTCTTTAATTATAATTAATTGAAAAATTTCAAAAACATTACTTAATCTATTCGCTATCAGATGTCGCTGTTAGGTTATTTAAAAATTATGACAGATTAAGTTTGTTTTGATTCAGGTTATGTTGCGTTTATAATCAAGATAAAGAAAATGTTACTTCGTAGAATATAAAATAGGAAAAATGGATCGTTTAGAACGCTTTAAAACGCCTTAAAAGGTTTTTGAAAGAAACAATTTATTATTTTTTAAACATTTTTTTTCATTATTAATCATTTATTTAGCAACTGCGTAACTTCAAAAGCTGGAAGCGTAGTTACAACCTTTCTAAAATCAGCGACCGAACAACAATATCCATATCCTTTCGAAATCGTTTTCCTATCCCAAGTTAACCAAGAATACTGAGAGCAAATATCCGTGCAAATAACATCCTTGGAGGAATTCAAAACGTAGGGGTTATTAACACCCAAGAAAACCACGCCGGCTTTCGTAGTTGGTTCGTATAAAACTTTCCAAAATAATCTTGGAACCGGTATCCTTTTATTATTTCCATTAACGTACAAATATAATTCGGTGTCAACCCCAGTTTTTTCGTGGGGTAGAGTTGCAACACCGTAAGTTCCGGTGTAAACGATTAAATCTTTATTTTTCGATGCGGCAAAATCGCGAGTATCGGATTCCAAATACATCCAATTTTGCCCGTTAAACGTTTGCCATTGAGGGGCGGCGTTTACGAAATAAAACGTGGCGCGTTGTTGAGCTCCAAACAAAAAATCGGCTTTCGCTGTTAAATGACCCCTCGCTAAATAGAAATCAGACGATTCTGCGATATATTTATAAGAGTTTTCATCCAAACCCAATAAGTTATTAATAACCGCCCTTTGATTATTCTTTGTATATAAATTATCAACACCAGATACGCTAAAAAAGTTACCCTGGATCCAACTTGGTCTTGGATAACCAGATTGGTACCCATCGATGGTTTTCGTTAAATTAAATTTGCTATATAATACATTATCTTTGCTTTCATCAAAACATACATCGATATGTTTTAGGAAACGATTATTTATATCAAAACCGATCTCGATTTCTTTATGAGTTGTTAAACATTTATTTCCGGTGGCTCTTGCTGTGTGATATGGAACAGTGGAGCATCTTATATCGATGAAATTAACCGATTTAGAAGAAATTGTGAATTTGTTATTGTTACAAGTGGCTGTGCCAACATTACTCGTTGTAGAAACTCCGCCAATTACAACGACACCCCCTGGGCAAGCTACCTGAACCGTTTCTCCGTTGGATAATTTTATTTTATCGCCTGTGTCGGGTAAATGAAAGGCACTGTGGCCATAACCACCGCTTGGATTTAAAACTAACGGTTGTGGGTCGCCCAAATCATCGTTTATGGATATGGTACACCCTAAAAAGATATTTAATTATTTTTTTATTTAATTTTTTAAGGAACTTACCATAAATTATGGTTATTTGTAAGGATAGTGTAAGAAATAATGAAGGAATCAACATCTTTTTAGTTTTAAGTGAAATGAATTAAAATTGGGTGAGAAATCTTTTTATAAGTATCCTCTTGAAGTTATCTGATCATAATAAATCAATTTTTTATTGCGTTAATCGCACGTTATTACTACATGGAATGTTGCAATAAGAAGTATCGATTGTAATTCAAGCGATTTAAAATGTTTTATTGTTTGCAAATTACAGAAAACTATAATTAATTATTTAAGTAAAATTAAAACATTAAAATCTGGGAAATTAACTATCTTTGTAAACTCTTCAACTCCACAACAATAACTATACCCAGCCGTAAGATTTTTTCTTTCTCAAGTTAACCAATTAATTTCATCACAAACGTCTTTACAAATAATATAATCCTCTACATTTTCGTTTTTCATATAAGGATTGTTAACGGCGATTCGGAATTGGGTTCATAAACAATTTTCTAAAACAATTTAGGAACCGGGACATTTTGCATTTTACACATTAACATAATATGATTAAAATGTGAAAAGAAAAAAATGTACATGTTGCAACTAAATGTCAATTTATTGCTAATTTCATGTCTTTTTGAAACGCCATCTCTTAAAACTTAACAAATTTCATCAAACGTCTAATTTGACAGAAACAAATTTGACAGATCAAAAAGTTATTTCTGTGTTCATTATTAATTTTGTAAGTTTGAACTCTTACTACTTAATCCACACTTATATTTCGTAACAAAAACGGTGAATTTCATAAATTATTATATAATAGTGATAATAAAGTTTATTTAGGATTAATTTTTAACGTTTTTTAAAATATAATTTTCTTTTTACACTTTTCAGGTATTTTGCAGCCAATAATAAAGTGCAATATGTTAAATATATGTATTACTTGCTTATAATTCAAGCGATTTAAAATGTTTTATTGTTTGCAAATTACAGAAAACTATAATTAATTATTTAAGTAAAGTTAAAACATTAAAATCTGGGAAATTAACTATCTTTGTAAACTCTTCAACTCCACAACAATAACTATACCCAGCCGTAAGATTTTTTCTCTCCCAAGTTAACCAATTAATTTCATCGCAAACGTCTTTACAAATAATATAATCCTCTACATTTTCGTTTTTCATATAAGGATTGTTAACCCCGAGGAAAACGACGCCCGATTTGGAATTGGGTTCATAAACAATTTTCCAAAACAATTTGGGAACCGGGATTTTATGTTTTTGTGAAACATCCAAGTATAATTCAATCTCTCGACCATTTTGGGCATGCGGAAGAGTTAAAACGCCGAAAGTTCCGGTGTAAATAACTAAATCGCGTTGATTTCTTGATGCAAATCTTCGAATGTCGGACTCTAAAAACATCCAATTAGCCCCATTAAAAGTTTGCCAATGAGGTGCCGCATTCACGAAATAAAACGTGGCCCATTGTAACGATCCATATAAATAATCAGCTCTTGGTGTTAAATGTCCGCGTGCTAAAAAGAAATCTCCATATTGAGCAATGTACTTAAACGACCCTGATTCTAACCCTAAAAGTGAATTAATTGTGCGCCTTTGTGTGTTTCTTGTATACAATAAATTCACGTTGTTTGCTTTAAAGAATTTATCTTGTATCCATGAAGGTCTTGGGAACCCAAATTGAAACCCGGAAATGCTTTTTGTTAAATTATGCTTTGCGTAGATAGCTTTATCGAGTTTTTGGTCGAAACAAATTTCGGTTATTTTCAAAAAATAGCCTTTAACAAAAAATCCAATCTCGATTTCGTCGTAATTCTTTAAACAATTTTTGTGTGTGTATCTCGCGGTGTGTTTTGGCATTTTATTACATGTTATATCAATGAAAAGTACTTCCCTTTTTTCTTCGTAAAAAAGAAATTTATTTCTCTTGCAAACAATTCGTTCGTGATCAGTCCAAATGGGAACGTTTTTTACCAATAAATATCCACCGGGACACGAAACAAAAACCGTTTCGTTATCATTTAAATGTATTCGATCCCTGTTTGTTGGTGAACAAAACGGATCTACTAAATCATTAGTAAAATTTGATTTTAAAATTAACGGCTGTGGATCTCCCAAATCGGTATTTAAAGAGATTGTACATCCTAAAAATTAAATTATTTTTAAACTTGTTATCTAAATAAGACTTATTTTGATTGATTTGTTTATTGACTTACCGTAAATTAACTTAAGTACTGCTATAAAGGTAATAATAATAAAACAGTTTATTTTCATGTTGAAAAATTGATGGAACTTTGCAAACTGGTTAAGTTCTTTAATATTTTTTTCCTTATAATCTTAATAAATTCCAATGATAACAAACGTGACTAAATTATTGGGAAAGGGAGTAATCTCACATTCCAATGTTTATTTTAATTTATCTTTTTATACAGGTTTCTTAATTTAGAAAATAATCGATCAAAAAATTAATTAATCGATTCATCTTAATCAAAAAACGATTTCTCAATTTATTTCATAACTATTAATTTAATTTTTTTTTAATCGCGTTTTTTTGAAGCGCCATCTCTTAAAAATTATCGGAAATTGCTTCATACGTCAAATTTGACAGATTAAAAAATTATTTCTGTGCTCCTTATTAATTTTGTAAGTTTGAACTCTTACTACTCAATCCACACTTATATTTCGTAACAAAAACGGTGAATTTCATATTATTATATAATATTGATAATAAAGTTTATTTAGGATTAATTTTTAACGTTTTTTAAAATAACTAGTTTTTTCTTTTTACACTTTTCAGGTATTTTGCAGCCAATAATAAAGTGCAATATGTTAAATATATGTATTACTTGATTATAATTCAAGCGATTTAAAATGTTTTATTGTTTGCAAATTACAGAAAACTATAATTAATTATTTAAGTAAAGTTAAAACATTAAAATCTGGGAAATTAACTATCTTTGTAAACTCTTCAACTCCACAACAATAACTATACCCAGCCGTAAGATTTTTTCTTTCCCAAGTTAACCAATTAATTTCATCACAAACGTCCTCACAAATAATATAATCCTCTACATTATCGTTTTTCATATAAGGATTGTTAACGGCGAGGAAAACGACGCCTGATTCGAAATTGGGTTCATAAACAATTTTCCAAAACAATTTAGGAACCGGGACATTTTGCATTTTGCACATTAACATATTATGATTAAAATGTGAAAAGAAAAAAATGTACATGTTGCAACTAAATGTCAATTTATAAATGTCAATTTATTGCTAATTTCATGTCTTTTTGAAACGCCATCTCTTAAAACTTAACAAATTTCATCAAACGTGAAACAAATTTGACAGATCAAAAAGTTATTTCTATATTCATTATTAATTTTGTAAGTTTGAACTCTTACTACTCAATCCACACTTATATTTCGTAACAAAAACGGTGAATTTCATTAATTATTATATAATATTGATAATAAAGTTTATTTAGGATTAATTTTTAACGTTTTTTAAAATAACTAGTTTTTTCTTTTTACACTTTTCAGGTATTTTGCAGCCAATAATAAAGTGCAATATGTTAAATATATGTATTACTTGATTATAATTCATGCGATTTAAAATGTTTTATTGTTTGCAAATTACAGAAAACTGTAATTAATTATTTAAGTAAAGTTAAAACATTAAAATCTGGGAAATTAACTATCTTTGTAAACTCTACTTAACTCGTACTTAATACACACTTATATTTCATAACAAAAACGGTGAAGTTTATAAATTATTATATAATATTGATAATAAAGTTTATTTAGGATTAGTTTCACTTTTTTTAAAATAACTAATTTTTTAGTTTTTACTCATTGTAACTATGTATGTTGAAGCCAATAACAAAGTGCAATATATTAAATAAAAAGCATTTTTGCTTTTTTTTTTCTTTTTTTCAATTTTGCAATTAAATATCAATTTAATGCTAATTTCATGTCTTTTTAAAACGCCATCTCTTGTCAGTTAAAAACTAAACGTCAACTTGACAGAAAAATTATTATAACCTAATTTTTAGTTATAACCTAAAATTTAAATATATAATAAAGATTACGTAATAAAGTATTTTTTTTTAATAAATAAATAACCATTGTATTAAGAATTTAATCAATTTATTTATAAATTGCCACATTTATTTTCCTTTATTGTAACAAACCTTGAACATCCAAATCCGGTAAATTCTTAACGGTTTCTTTTAATTCATCGACGGAACAACAATAACTATATCCATCTTGAGAATCGTGTTGATCCCAACTCAACCAATTGATTCTATCGCAAATATCGTTGCAAATAATTTGATCGGTTAAATCTTCGACGTAGGGGTTGTTAACCCCGACGAAAGCAATCGCGGATTTAGTGCTTGGCTCATAAACTACTTTCCAGTAAAGTTGAGGAACCGGAATTTGTTTAACATCTCCGTTTACGTAAAGATACAATTCGATTTCTTCGCCGGTTTCTTCGTGGGGTAAAGTGGCGACTCCGTGAGTTCCGGTGTAAACAACAAGATTTTTTTGTTCATCAGCGGCGTATCCACGAACGTCTTGTTCTAATGAATTCCAATTTCTTCCGTTGAATGTTTGCCATTGCGGGGCTGCGTTTAAGAAATAAAACGTTCCTCTTTGGTGGGCTCCATAAACGAAGTCGGCTTTCGCTGTTAAATGACCTCGGGACATAAAATAATCACTCGATTGCGCGATGTATTTATAAGAATTCGAAGGTAACCCAAGAAGGGCGTTTATGGTCGTTCTTTGAGTGTTTCTGGTGTATAAATTATCTACATTTGGTGCGGTGAAATGTTCTGCGTTCCATCCAGGTCTTGGAAAACCACTTTGGTATCCCCCGATGCTTCGCGGCAAATCGAAACGGCTGTAAAGGGTTGTTTGAAGGTCTTCGTCAAAACAGATATCGATGATTTTCAAAAATCTGTTTTCGTCGACTTCGAAACCAATTTCAAAGGGAGTTTTTCCATTTGTGCACGTGGCGTCTTCTATCTTTTTAGCTACGTGATAAGGATTTGATTTACATGTGATATCGGAAAAGTAAACGGTTTGGCCGTCGATGTCGAATTTTCCACCGTTACAAACCGCTTCGTCAACTCTATTTCCAGACACTCCATCGATTACTAAATTATTATTGGGACAAGCAACTTCAACGACATCTCCGTCGTTAAGAACGATTTTATCACCGGAAGTTGGTTGATAAAAAGCTTCTTGACCCACCCCGCCGTTTGGTTTTATCACCAAGGGTTGGGGATCCCCCAAATCGTTATTAATCGAAATTGTACATCCTTAATAAAACAAATTAAATTGATTAATAAGCAATATTTAATTTTATTTTATTGTTTCTACCTGATCTTGGAGCTGCGTAGGTTGAAAGAACTTGGAACGCGATGAGAACAAAGAAAATTCGTGAATTCATTGTGAATCGAACTAAAAGAATACGGTTCGGGCACCTTATATATAAATTTTAAACCGTTATCAAACAATTGTTTTTATTTATTAGTAAAAATGTGAATTGATGTAATGGATAATTTCTTAATTGAAAAACACTTAATTTAGTGCAAGATAGCATCAATAAAAATTGTTTTTACGTAGATTTTAATTATAAAGTAATCATTTAATTCGAAATTACAACATTGATGTTTAAAAACGTTTTTTAAATTAATTTTTAAAAAAATTGAATTAAGTTATGCAACACAAATAACATCCGTCAAATTTTATTTATTTTAATAAATAAAAAAATAAAAATTGATTTTTATAAAAACCTCGTCATAAAAAAGTTTAATACTTTAATTAATTTGTTTTTTAATAATTTTAATTCATCTTAATCAACAAATTATATGTTCCATCTCTTATTGAAATGTAAAAGTACTTTATCTCTTAGTATCAAAGCTTTCTAATAGATGGCTCCACCCCAAGATGTATTTAATATCATCTGTCGCAATGGAGCCGATTTAATTCTTTGTATGTAAGTTGAATAATTACTTTGTGAACGTTTTTTAAGATACATTAATAAGCACTGAACCTCACATCCTTCTCAAATCATAATGTGGAAATGTCACAAATGCGGAAAACCGGTCTATTTCGGTGAGTAAAATTTTAATTAATTTTTATATTATTAACTAATTAAATCGTTTCAAAACTTAAGCGGAACGTAAACAATCTCTCGGTTACGACTGGCATCCGGAGTGTTTACGCTGCGAAGAATGCGGTAAACGCTTAAATCCAGGCCAACATGCAGAACACAAAGGTGTTCCCTACTGTCATGTTCCTTGTTACGGCGCTTTATTTGGACCTCAATTGTTCGGGCATGGTACCAGGGTTGAGTCCCATAAGAGTTTCGGCCAACATCAAAATTCCCCCAAAGTTGGAACAGGTCCAATATTACCTCGAACCCATCTCGACTCAAAACTAAAAGTTTACAATCAATTTTACGAGGGGAAAAGCAACGAAATTCGTAGCAGAGAAGTTAATGGTCGTTTGGTGCTTGAGGGATCATTAAGAATCCATTGGGGTGTTATGGGGGTGATACACCTAAAAGAAAATGATGATCAAAGGACAGTTACAATCAGAAAGAGGAATTCTTGTAGGATTTTCCATGATTATGATTCAGATGAAGATATAACAAGAGATAGTAGTTATAGCGATGTTTCAATTAGCTCCTCCGATTTAAGTTCTTCTAATACTTTGAATTTCGATGATTTAGATAAATCCGATACTGGGATTGAGTCGATGGATGTTAGCATGGCAGAAAGTTTATCACCCAACGATGATTTACCTAAAAGTTTAACTTTACCTCCTAAATTAGACTTGAAAAACGTCGAATGGGATGAATTGGATGATTTATTGCAAGTTGAGCGGAAAATTAACGAAAAGGAGAAAATTTATCAAACGATGCCCGTTGCTTTACCTTCCCAAACAAGCATAGAAAGTAATTCTAGCAGCACCAGTCGTGAAGATACTTCAAGGTAAATTATTATTTATTTAAAATGAATCTTATTAAAAATCTTGGAATTGACCAATGCAATGAAATCAAAACAAAAGTTGACCTTTTTCTTTTAATTTAACCAAGTTTTTCTTCTTAATGCAAAAAGCTGTTTTGAAAAATCGAAATTTTTAGAATTTTGCAATTTTCGCCGATTATGTTTTAAAAATTCGTATAAAATCCATTTCTTGGAATATGAGTATGAAAATTTCCCAAAGTGTTAATAAGAGTGTCCTCTTTCCAATAAACCAATCCGTTTTAAAAAATAACTTTTAGTTTTTGAGAAAACAATATTTGAAGTTTTGATAAAATTTTCGATGAAGCAATTTTCAAAATTTGCTATAAAATTTATTTCTTGAAGGATTTTTGTGGAAATATCACCAATTATTAATTAAAATATCCTCTTTTTAATGCAACAAGCCGTTTTGAAATATCGCTTTTAGTTTTTGAGAAATAAATTTTTGAAATGATCGAAATTTTTTTCGAATCTTGCAATTTTCGCCGATTATGTTTTAAAAATTCGTATAAAATCCATTTCTCGGAATATGAGTATGAAAATTTCCCAAAGTATTAATAAAAGTGTCCTCTTTCGAATGAACCAACCCGTTTTGAAAAATAACTTTTAGTTTTTGAGAAAACAATATTTGAAGTTTCGATGTTACAATTTTCATCGATAATTTTCAAAATTCGCTAAAAAATTCATTTCTTGAAGGATATTTGTGGAAATATCACCAATTACACATACATAATGACGCAAAGCCTGGATACACAGTTTAACACTTCAATTGGTGGATATTTTACCTTTATTATTAGCCCTGTTAAATGATTTCAAACAAAGAGTAAACTGTTCATACACAAGAATGTTTAACAATACAAAGAAATTAAATATAAAGAAGTTTAAGAAGCTGCAGGAAGGGTTTAACTTCAACAATGTGTATAAAAATAATGACGGGTGGTGTATTAATCGAAGTAATGTTGAAATTCCCAAAATTGTAAAGAGTTTTTTGTCTTTAGATCCAAAATTTTTAAATTTTTAAAAGAAGGCATGTTGCACTAATGTTATCATAAATTTTTTGCAAAAATCACAGTAATTTTTGTAAAAAACATGACGTTTCATAAAATTGACATTTAATTTTGACAAATTGTTGTGAAGTTGCTTACAGTTGGTAACATTGAATGTGTGTCACATTCACGTTTAAACTTTACTTTTCCCTACATCTTTAAGTATTTAGGTGATATCTATGCGGTTCCTTCAGACTAGATCGACAATATTCTTGATGTGTTTAATGGTTTTCATCTACATTTACAGTTTATTGTGGAGAACGAGGTTAACTCATCTGGGAAACGTTTTTTAGGACTTTTTAAAGGTTTGACGTTAAAAAAACGTAAACAAATTCCGTTTTTCGTATGATTTAAGCATAAATTAATTAATTTTCGTAAAAAGCATGACGTATCATAAAATTGACATTTAATTTTGACAAATTGTTGTGAAGTTGCTTACAGTTGGTAACATTGCATTTGTGTCACATTGACGTTTAAACTTTATTCAAAAATTTATTTAAAGTTAACCCAACTCAGATCACTATATGAATAAAAATCCCTTGTCTACCTTACTAATAAATTTTCTTCCAAAAACTTAGTTAAAGGAAAAAGGATAATTGTTGTTTTAATTTTTTTTTGCATTTGTCGATTCCCAAGAATATCTACATTTGTTATGTTGTAACGATTGAAATTCCTTTCCACATAACTTGTGTTTTAAGATCTGATTCCAGCACAAAAACCCTCAATGGTGCTTCATCCCCACAAGACACAAAAAGTACGCAATCGGGTAACAAAGAAAATGTATCCTTAAACGACTCCTGGGATAACCCGAATAATCATTTAAATCGATCGATGTCAGGGCCGGATTGTTTAGAACGATTACGAGAACCCCAATCACCCGAATTTGATCGATCGACTGTCAGTAGTTTTGAGGTGATGAACACCGACAACCAAGAAGTGGTCGTTAGAAGAGCTGCAAAAACGGGTTCAGCCGCGATTAAAAGGAGACATGGAAAGCGGCTTTCTCGATCAAAAATTAAGCGAAGGTGCTCGATTAATGGTCACTTTTACGACCGCGAAACAAGCTTTTTTACACCTCCGAGAGGCAGTCAAATGAGCGTTTGGATAACTTCGTTAGTTAGCACCCAGGAGGTGATTAATTTACTTTTGGAGAAATATAAAGTGGATAGTGACCCAAAGAATTTCGCTTTATTTATCGTTCGAGATAATGGAGGTTAGGTTTTATATTAAACTTTATACATTGAATTTCACTTAAGATGCAATACAGTGGCTCCAAGTTAAACTGGGACACTACAGTATTCTTACTAAAAAATATGTAAACTAAAACAGCTAGGAAAGAGAAGTAAATTGATTTTTAGTAATTTATTAATTGCATGTTTAAAAAACAAATACAAAAATTTATTCACTGTAATAATAAAATATCAAAATAAACGAAAACAGTACAAAAACTATGTATAAGCCAAATACGGAGAGTAAACAAAATTTAGAAAGCGTATTTATATTTTTAATAACTAATATTTAGTATGGAGGTCTTTGCTTTTTATAACCATTTTAAGCCGGTTAGGCATTGACTGTACCTATTCTTCGCAAAAAATAGGTGGAATTTTCTCCCATTCTTCCAACAAAGCATCTAAATACCAACAATTTTGGTATCTAAATAATTCCATGAAAATTTATGGAATTTTTTTATTTATGTCTGGACTTTAAGGTGGCGTTTCCATTACATGAGGGCAATTATATAAGACAAGAACGTACTTTGTACGCCTTCTGTGCAAACATCCTGGTCCAGCAGCTGAAAATGACCCTCACACCATCACAGATCTGCCACCATGTTTCACAGTTGGTCTTAAATGTTTTAAATGCAGCTCCTCATTTTTTCTTCTCCATACATATGGCTTACCATCTGACCCAAAAATACTATATTTACTTTCGTCAGTCAATAGAACGGTTTTCCAAAAAGAAAAATCGTGCACAGTAGAATGGCTTCTGTGTACAATTTTTACAATTTCTCGTACCCATTTTTCTTCCTGGATGTTTAAAGTGTTTAAGCACTAATTTTCTAATTTCAATAATTGTTTGGTCTCTTTCTCTAGACATTTCGAATAAAAAGCTAGATTTCCACGCGAATAATACAAAAAGTCAATTAGGGAATTCCCCTTGTCAACTGTTAAAGCTACTACATGAAATTGTTTGTAATTTTTACTTATTGCTGCCTTAATTTAGCGCTTAATCTTAATTGTTTTCGAGTTTGGCTTGTGCCTAGTTTTTGTGTCGTCTTACTTTATTTTTATATTTTTTTTATTACAGTGAATACATTTTTGCATTTTGTGTTTGTTTTTTGAATATGCAATTAATAAATTACTGAAAATCAATTTACTTTTTTTTCCTAACTGTTTTAGTTTGAATATTTTTTAGTAAGAAAGTATTATTAAGCCGAGTATTAGCGTCAAATTTACATATAATGCTACTGCTATACCGAAAATAGAAAATTTTCCAGCCATAATGTTAGTTCTAGTGACAGTGATAGGTAGCGCTAGTTAACATAAGATATCACTATGTTGCATATTTTTATTGCACTAATTAGAACTAACACTAGACCTAGAACTAGAAACATTTGGGTTAAATCGTCTTGAGAGACGTGCGACTAAATCCGAATGTTTCTAGTTCTAGGTCTAGTGTTAATTCTAGTGATAGTGATTTTAGTTCTAGGTCTACTGTTAATTCTAAATTTTCTATGCAAATTCTGTAGCTATTTTTGTCTTTTTCTAAATATGTACGAACTATTTTTCTTATGGAAATATTATTTAAGATTCTTCGCTTGTACAATTTCTTTTGCAGTACATTTATACTGTTTTTGAGTTTATTATTTATATTTTTGACCCTTAAAAAAAAAAAAAGAAATATACATATAAAGTATATACATATCATATATATATACCGGGTGTCCCTCAAAAGTGGCTCACCCCCATATTTTTCTTTATTATTGGTGATATAAGAAAACCATTTGGAATGCATAGTTAGGTCGCTAAAACGGATTATTACGACATGAAATCATTCTTTTTGTACTTCCGGTTATACCGGATGTGAGTTCTAATTTCGCTATTTTTTTAAATCTATAATTTTTTTTTCTTCAATTGGGTTGATAGTATATTTTCACATAACTTTTACTTGAAAAAATTTTCACGATCACTTATAATTTTTGAAAAAAAAATTATTTTCGTTATTTTATAACATTTTAGTACCTTCGGAAAATGTATTACAACTTTTGACGCATAGTAGCTAGGTTAATAGTATAAACTACGTTATGTCCCTCTAGATTTGCTATTTCTCGAGCAGTAATCACTGCTATGCTTTAGTCAGTGGTTCTTTTTTAATAATGGTGTAAATTAACAGTTGTATTAAATTAGTTTTAAAAGAAAAACGCGATCAAACAATTAAGTTTAATTCAATTATTTTTGATTTTTTATT